AGGCCGCAGAAGTCAGTGGACTTGGACACTAGAACCTCATTCATAATAACTCCTATCTATTTAGCCCAGTTTCCATCTTTTTAAAAGGGAAGGGAGCTGAGGAGCCACACACCAAGAAGGCTCTGCTGTGACCTGCCATGGGGAGCAACTATTCAGACTGGGTAAAATTGAACATGAGAGAGCTGGAATAAAGTACCACCAGAATCCCAGTGTCAGCACCTTGGCTGGGCTTCTTCCAAAGGTGGGTCTGATACCACCTACTCCTACCCCCTTTCCTAAACTCAGGCTGGGGTGTAGTAGGGAGGGTCCTTCCCATTGCACATGAGATTTTCCTAGGACCATCTCCTACTATTGGCTATATTCTGAACATCATGGATTATAAAGTATGTAGCTCTTTCTATAAGAACTTGATGATATGAGATGTCAGAAGCAAGAATTTCACAGTAAACCAGGTGTACCAGGTACAGAGAGGTTAGCTCTGGGGCTAGTTTCCCAGCATCCTCCTGCTCTCACAGTCAGTAAAGTTTTTTTGAGAATCATTCTGACAAGTGCCAAGGAGATTCACCAGAAGCTAGAAGGGTGGGTGTGGGCAGGTGGGACCAGAAGGTCTCTAACAGGGAGGTTCTCCTGGATACACCCTTGTGGCAAGACTCCTTCCAAGGGGCAGAAATCAGCAGGGCAAATAAAAGAAGGATAAAAGGGGAAATTAAAGTATCAAAGACAGGAAAAAGTTTAACTTTTATTGTTTCCTCTGTGAAATAATGGGTGCCCAATACAAAAAGTTCAGAAAATTAAGATAAAGATAAAAAATAATGACCTATAACTTGATAACTTGGGGAAAATCACTCTTAAAATTTCTATGTATGTACTTGCATGCTTTCTTATGAAAATTTACACTTATAATTTTAGAACAATGGAATATGTTTACATAAAAATACATATATAGAGACACATATACACACATATTAATTTATTCTAAAAATCTCTCCACATAAAAAAAATTAAATGCCATCACCATTATTTTCTTGACTTTGGAGTGTTCTATCATAGCATAGTTTATACTCCCAATCTCTTACCAATGGACTTTTCTCAGTTGTTCACTATTATAAACAATGTTCCAATTACTCACATCACACGTATATTTTTGCAAACTTGTTACGTTCTTTCCCAGAAGCAGAATTGCTGTGTCAAAGGCATATACTTTTCAAAAGACTTTTCAGTAGTAAACTGTCTTCTAGAAGTGCTATGCCAATTAACATTAGGGTGTGCGTATCTATTTCCCTACATCCTTTTATGTCTTTGGCCAGCTGTGCAGGGAGAAAAAAACTATCTTTGCATTGCTTTGGTTGCAAGGGAAGATGAATCCCTTTTCATGTGTACTAGCCATTTGGAGATGCATTTCTTTTGCTCGGTGTTTTTCAACCAGAGTGTTCATCTTTATTTTCTTGTTGATTTGTAAGAACTCTATATTCTGGATTCTTACCTTTGCCATATGTGTTGCTATTGAGATAACATTTAAGAGACGATTAAACCTAAATGTAACCATTAGGGGAGAAAATATTTTAACTAACAAAATCAAAATAAGGAAAATGTTACTTTTAAAAGCAAGAAGATAAGAAATTCAGGTGAGACAAAATAAAGCCCAGATAGAAATAGGAAACTTTAAGGTAAAGAAATAGAAACATAAAAATGGGAAAAATTAAAAGTAACTAATACTAGCCATATCAAAGCAAAATTCTAGAACAATGCCTACATTCTAATTTATATAATACAAACTATCCATAAGAAAATTTAAAGAAATCAGGGGTGCAGAGGACAATACAACTTCTCACAGGTAGGCCAGGGACAGTGCCATGGACCTTTAATCATGGTGTCTGCAGACACCTGCACAGTAGATCAAAATGGGGAATAGTATCCAAATCCCTCATAGAACTCTATATACTTGTTCAGGCCATTAGCAAATCCTCCTGAGGAGGCCAAATCCATTTAAAATGAGTTTTAAGACGGGCAACAGATAAAAAGGTAGGCAAGGAAAGAATTACAAAAACAGGATGAAGCAGGTTAATCTGTCATTTTAATTGCATTGTCTGTTCTTTTTGTTCACTAATTAGATCAAGAAGCTATTAGAGTCAGATACTAAAAAGTGACTCTTCTTGAAGAAACCTTAAACTAGGAGTCATCTTATCCCACCTACTCCAGGTTTCACATAAGATAAGCTGAATCCAAGGTGGGATACCAAGGAGGTCCCTATCTTAAGATTTTATCTTAAGGTTTTCCTGAGAGTACAGGACCGTTTATCTTTAAAAAGGAAGAAGGAATGCATAAACTGCTTCCATGCCCATTTAGTCTTCACAAAGTAGTATGAGATCAATTTTACTACTCCCCTATTTTATGTATGAGAGCACAAAGATCCACAAAGACTAAGTGGTTTGCCTCATCAAGGTGCTGACAGTGTGTGCTATGGAGCAGGAATCAGAAACTCTGCTATCTGATAGAAATGTCATGTGAGCTGCATATACTATTCAAAATTCTCTAGTAGTGGGGTACCTAGGTGGCTCAGTCAGTTAAGTGTCTGATTCTTGGTTTCAACTCCGGTCACGAGCTCAGGGTTCTGGGATCGAGCCCCACCTTGGGCCCCCATGCCTTGAGCCTCTGGCCTGGGGCCTATGCCCAACCCCACACTCTGTACTCTGCAGGGAGTCTGCTTGAGACTTTCTCTCCTTCTCCCTCTGCCCTTCCCCCTGCATGTGCTCTCTCTTTCTCTCTCTCTCAAATAAATACATAAATCTTTAAAAAATATTCTCTAGTAGCTACATTTAAAAATAAAAACAAATATGTGAAGTAAAATTTAATGATCTACTTTAGGGAGCACAGTACATTCAGACTACTATCTTCTTAACATATAATCCATATAAAAATTAATTCGATGCTTTACATTTCTTTTTTTCATGCAAATTTTTGAAATCCAATATGTCTTTTCTATGTACAGCATACCTTAATTTGCACCAGCCACATTTCAAATACACAAGTACATTTCAGGTACTTAACAGCTACCTGTGGCTAGTGGTTGCCACATTGGACAGCCTGGTTCTAGACCAGTGGTTCTCAAGATGTGGTACCCAGACCAGCAGCACTGACAACACCAGGGAACTGTTAGAGGTACAGATTCTTGGGCCCCATTTCAAACCTACTGAATCAGACCCTGTGGGATTGGGGAACATCAATCTGCATTTTAACAAGTCCCTTCTGGTAATTCTGAAAATGCTAAGGTTTGAGAACCATTGCTCTAGACCATTGCCTCTCCATCCCAATTCAAATTGAGGACAGCCATGTCAGGCTAGTACTAAGGAAGAGGAGTCCCTTCTCTTGAGATCAACAATTCTTGGCTAGATGAAGGTGGTTTTCTCTTGTATGGAAATCCTCTAGTTCTTGTTGTGGTTCCATTTCTTGGGGCTGTGGAATGAATTACCAGACATGTAATTTAAACATGGTTTCATTTATCACTTTGTTTAAGGAGGAAGCAACACTCCACGGTAACTACCCTGTACGATCACCCTGAGTTTAGTTCAGTTTCCTTATCCATAAAATGGGGATCCTTTAATAAATGTTGCCACTTTCTAAAAAAAAAAAAAAAAAAAAAAGTTTTTATTTATTTATTTAGTAATCTCTACACCCAGTGTTGGGCTTGAACTCACAATCCCCAAATCAAGAGTCACGAGCTCTTCTGACTGAGCCAACCAAGTCCCCCAGGCAACTTATTTCAAAGTACTGTGTACAAAAAGAAGTCAGCAAAAGCGATTGATAGTTTTAAACTACTGTTAAAAAAAAAATTAGTGGGCCGGAAAGGTAATATAGATTTTGAGCATAGAAGCAGACGCTAATTCACTTCTGTTTCTCAGAGCATTAGATGTGCTGAGGGGGGAGGGTAAGGTTCTTGCCAAAATCACTAAGGAGAATGAATCTGAGCATGCCTTAAAGGAGAATTTTCAGTAAACAGGAATTAACTATAAAGAAAATCAGGAAGCCAAAGTGTTTCTTTTTATGAAGTTACATCCTGCCATAGAAAAGCTGGATAGGAAATAAAGACTGATGCACTCCTGACTGTATATGAAACCAGCTATTATTTCAACAAGGAAAATCTGAGCAGAAGCTCAGATTCCATGAGGGAATAAAGTATGAGAGGGCTAAATGTCACGAGAAACCAAAGACAACCAATAACTACAATTAAACATGATTTGGGGAAAATTTATACCAACAAATTTCTACTCTGTGATTTCAGATTCCTAAGTGGTCACCTGCCCTCTCCACCTCTCCCCCTATTTCAGTAATACTTCCTGCAGACTTTTGCTTGAAGATAAATATGTGTGTGTCTACGAAAATAGGAGACTAACAGATGAATCTTAATTTCCTCCTTCCCTTTATTATTATTAATATTAGTTGTGGGTTTCCACGGTTCTCCTGGTTTTTTCAGGTTTCTGTGATGGAGTTCTACCTTGCTCCGCACTCTTCAGTTTGATCAGCAAAAACGTTTCACCACTAACACTTTCCCAATTTATCCTCCCACCTTCAAATGAAAAGACACCAGAAAAGCAAGATAGCCCTTTCCCAAGCCAGGTTCCCATGGTTTGGGGGTCGGGGGGGTGGGAATGACAGATGCCTTTCTGCAGTGGCAGCTGCAACCTTCCGCAAAGCAAAAACTGCAGCTCACACTCTCCCCTTCTTCCCCCTCCCAAACCCACTACCTCGCAAGTCCACACAACCCTTAAAAGCACATACACAACTCCTCCAACCTCGCATCCCCTCTCACAACCCACACGGCAAGCACGCCAGGATGCCTGCTGCCACAGTAACGCTCAACCCACTCGGTGGCCCCACCCCTTTCAGCCCCGCCCCCGAGCCAGACACCAATGGTAGCCGCCCGCAGCTCCCTACGAATGCGTTGATAGGGCAGCAGGGACTGCCTCTCTCAGCGTGCGGCCCGCCCCGTCCTCACTCAGGGCTGGGGCTGGAGGGGCCGGAGCATCAGCGTGAGTAGCTGCGAGCAGCCGCGGCGGCGGCGGCGCGTTGTTGCAGTTGCGCCATCTGTCAGGAGCGGAGCCGGCGGGGAGGGGGCTGCCGCGGGAGAGGAGGAGGGGTCGTCGTGACCAAAGGCCGCCGAGACCCGCCCGCCGGCCGGCCGCGAAAGCAGTGGCAGGCTGCCCTCCGAGCCGCGCGTCCTCTTCCGTCCGGGCGCGCGGCGCTTCAGCCAGCGCACCGAGAGCTCTCCGGGCGCACACAAAGCCGCCGCCCGCGCCGCACCGCCCGGCGGCCGCCGATCGTGCCAGAGAAGGATCGGGCCGCCGGGCCGGGGATACCCGGCGCCGCCCCCTCGGCGCTCTCGGAAGGCCCACCGGCTCCCGGGCCCACCGAGGAGCCAGCGGAGTCGCCTCGGTCGCGCCGGTGGAGGGCGGGGAGAAGACCATGTGAATGGGCTCCGGAGCCTGAGCGCCGCGCAGGTAAGCGGCTGAGGATGCGTCGCGAGAGGGCCGCGGGGATGCTGCGGAGACGCCGGCCACCCGCGCCCCCGCGCTGCGCCGCCCCCGCCGCGGGGCCCCGCGCTGCAGTCTCCCGGTGGCCGCCGCCTCCGGGGCGCCCCGCGGGGCTGCCGGGGAGTTGCCCCCGCACGGAGTCTTCCCGCGGCCGCGCCGGGGGACACCTCTGCGGGGTGCGGCCCTGAGGTGGCGCAGGGATGGGGGCCCGTTTCCTCGCCTGCGAGCGGCGCGGGGCGAGAATGGGAATTGGCTGGGGGCGAGGCTGGCCCAGACTCCACCCTCGCCCTTCTTTCGGGGGCCCCCCGCGGGGACTCGGTCTGTGTGTGTTGTTTTAATGTCAGGGATGATGTAATCACTTAATAATTGATGCCCCGTGCTGCTTCCCTCCCCACCCCATCCCACCCCACCCCACCCCTGCCCCACTCCTCCACCTCTTGGCCTCCTGCGGTCGTCGCTTTCCTCAGCGCATCCTCCTGCCTATTTCTGGCACCTCCCTAGCACTTCCCCCATCCTCCCCTTCACTCTTCCTGTGCCGCCACCCACCCAACCTTCCCCTGTCCCTCGTGCTGTTGCCTTCGCTCTTCTTCCTCTGCCTCCCCACCCCTTCTGCCCCCTCAAGCTCCTTTCTCCTCCCTTCCCTGCTCGCTGGATTTCCTCTCTACTTCCCCAGATCGATGGCTGGTTTTTGTTTGGTCGCCTCCCCTTTCTTATCTCTTCGGCCACAGGCAGAGGGGACTGGGCCAGAAAGAGGCCACCGAGGTTGGGCCCAGACGGAGATTTGCTGGGACTCCGTGAGAAGAGGGATAATAAAATCACCCTTCTTGCCCCTCCTCCCCTTAATAAATCACAGAGACTCGCCGGGTGTGTGTGTGTGTGACACAAAGAGCCCTTTCAGTGCACAGAGAGGAGACGCACAAAGTACCCAAGGATGGGCACGATGATTCTTATTTCTCTTCATTGGGGCTTCCCTTTCTCTCAGATAAAGCAGTTGATTTTCTCTCTGAGAGTCTTTCCTGCCACATTTACCAAAAAAATAAAAGGCCCCAGATGCTGCAGGGTGGCAGGTGCTGTCATTTCTCTGTATTCATGGACCCAGTAGTGTTGACTGGCTGCTGCAGTATTTCTTAGTTTTAAGGGGGAAAATGATTCCAGCAGTCTTAAGAGTTGCTTTACTAACAAGGTAGCCCTCCTCTGCCTTGTTTTAACCTCCTCTCTTTTGGGGATAGGTACTAAAAAGCTGGGGAAGGATGAATTGGCCTTGGAGGGCAGAAGAATTTTTCTTCTGAATCAGATGATTAAATTCGTGTCTGATAAGAGTGAGGCAGCCAGACTTCTTCTCTGAAGTCTAAGAAGTGCTGAAGTCTTGAAATGAAATTTTGTCTGCCCAGTGGTGGTGTTTTACCCTTATATTTAAACAAGTTTCTGGGGCCATCAAAACCAGCATTAATTGGTATTTGGAAGACCGCTAGAGACCATGTCTCTTCCCCGCTTCAGGTAACCCCACATCCTTCCTCTCACCACCCAAGCGATGGCAATACTTTCCAGCCTTTGTGCTCTTTCTCCTGAGTCCTGGTCCCATGGGTACTGTGCTTGCAGATGAAGGGACTCACAGACTTTTGGAGGAAGTGGTTTGTTAACTATCTCGGGTTTGGGGGTACTTAACTATGAGCAAAGGATATAGAGAATCTTTTGACAGAACTTTGAACCATCTGTTTGGTGTTCCTCTTAAAGAGGAAATGTTAATGTAAATCAAGAGGCTTAATGTTCCATTTTGTAAGCCAGAGACTGTTACATGCTTAGTTGATAATGTGAAAACTTACTTTAAACCCATTGATTCCTAAGAGCATGGCTCCTTGACGGTTGTAATAGATCTGCCTCAAGTTCGTTCTTCAAGAATTTTATTAGAAAAGAGTTATGATTCATTAAACATTTACTTCTGCACTTTCTAAGGACATTCATCATGGAACTTTTTATATTTTTTAAAAAAAAGCAATAAGGTTAATGAGCGTACTGTAAAAACAAAGCGTTGTTTGTTTGATGCCAGACCCAGGAAGGAAAGTCCGTGCACAATAAGCTCACACTGTGTTGACCAAGCTAAAGAGACTTAATGATAAGGTTGAATGTGAACAAATGCACACTCTGCCTTCTGTACTTTATGCTTTGTGCTGGGTCTGGACTCTCCAATCCCATCTGATTTGCTTGGGTTCTATTTAAGCTTTGGGGCTCAGCTCAAAAGTCTTTGATGCTTTCTCCATCTTCCCCTCCAAACAAATCACCACGCCTCCAATTTTGTTTTCAGACTTCAGCAGCGGGCATTATGTTTGGCATGTCTCTGCTTCCATCATTAGTTAGTCAGCACATTGAGAGAAGGAACCTGGTCTTACTTAATCTTGTTTCACTAAATGTGAATTAAGTCTTTGGTATGTGCCAGACACCTGGATTCATTAAGCTAACGTTAGCAGCTATAACAAATAGGCCTGCAAAAATGTAATGGCTCAAAAGCAATAGATACTTATTATTCCTCATGTAGTAGTCCACTTTTTAAATGCTTTGGCCTGGAAATGACACCCACTGCTTTGATGCACGGGCTTCTGTGCTTCTATGAGGGCTAGTTATGTGGTCACATTTAACTGCAGGGGAGCCTGGGAAATACAGGATAGCCACTTGACTAAGAAAAACAATCAAGAAGAAATGTATTTTGGGCCAGCAGCTTTGCCATATGTTGCCACTCAACAAGGTGATCTTAGACCTCCAGTGTTGACTTTGAAATGGTTCTTTTACTCCAGGAGCATCTTTCTTGGCCCAGTTTTTTTATTTGCTGATTTAAAGACTCCCAAAGTGGCTAGGAGGGTCCTTAGAGATCACAGTTCTACCTTGTCTTAATTGAAAGGGGAGAGTAAGCAAACTGCAGAGGAGAAATTTCTTGCCTGGGGGGCCATGCTAATGGGAAGGGAGCCCCGGCAGGCCCATCCTGCCTGGGTCCCCTTCACCACACAACTGCCCTGACTTGGGGGCCATGAACCCTACCCTGCATATTCCATAGAAAGTAAGTGAGCTTCCAGACCTCCAGGAGCAGGGCAAACTGCTAGTGTTCTGGATAGTCTCTGTTTTCCACAGGCCTCCAAACTGTTGGAGCAATGCATTCTATACTATTCATCGTACTTAATAATCCACATATTTTTCTATAAACAGTTCATTATATTCATCTGATCTGCAAACATTAGCCAAGTGTGTTATTCTGTGCAAGGCACTGGGAGATAAGGTCATGAAAATGAATGCTTCTGCTGTCCTTGCTCTTCAGGGGCTCACAGTCTGCTAGAGGAGATAAAGCTAACTTTTATTGAGCATTTACTATGTGCCAAACAATGTTGAAGTTCTGGTCTTGGTAAAAACGATATGAAGTGGGTTTGGTTATCCCCATTTTACAGATGGGAAGTTGAAGCGGAGAGGTTAAGTAACTAATTAAGATCATATAGTTATCAGGTGGTAGAGTCACAATTCGGGCCCATTAGTTTGGTTTCAGAACCCTTGCTCTTAGCCATTAGACAATATGCAAAATACTATATATGGATATAATGATATTAATTAAAATACTCCATAAAGGGGGGATGACTAAATGCTTTGGAAATTGATACTTCTAGTTGTTGTGAAACAACTTCATATTAAATAAAGTTAAAAATGGGAAAGCAAGGCAGGTTGACAGTGGAAATACTTCTACTCTGTGTGATTTCTATTTTAGGCTGGATCCTTCTGTGGGCCACAGACAGGTCTGTGTTTGTGAATTGTCCTATGTATTTACTCTTCCAGCAGCATTCATTCATTGTATCCATCACGCCAGACCTTGCACTAGATGCTTCAGGCGCAGAGGTGTGATCCTGTCTGAAGGAACTTACCTGGATAAAGGAAGTCTCTGACCACTGTGATTCTAGGATCCCCACAAGAGCAAGAGAACATACAGAAGGGAGCAGAATCTCTGCAAAGAGGTGGGAAAGTGGGGTAGCCAGGCAGGAAAGATCGGAGGAGGTGTCTTTGAGATAAGGAGTAGGAGTCAGCTAACAGAGTGTTGTCGGAAGGCCATTGCCCCAGAAGGAGCAGCCCAGAAGGCAAACGCACAGACCTCCTGGGAAATTGCAAGCAGTTCAGAGTAGGTGGGGGTTGTGGAGAGATGGACAGAGGAAGAAGATGGGGTTAGAGGAGGAATTGAGGATGTTCTTGTACCTACAGTTGACCCTTGAACAACATGGGTTTGAGCTATGTAGTCCACTTACATGCATTTCTTTGATAAATATAGTACAGTATTGGAAATGTATTTTCCTAATGATTTTCTTAACCTTTTTTCTCCAGCTTGCTTTACTGTAAGAATGTAGTATATGATATGACATACAAAATATGTGTTAATTAGGGACGCCTGGGTGGCTCAGTGGGTTAAGCCACTGCCTTCGGCACAGGTCATGATCCCAGGGTCCTGGGATCGAGTCCCGCATCGGGCTCCTTGCTCGGCAGGGAACTTGCTTCTCTCGCTGCCTCTGACTGCCTCTCTGCCTGCTTGTGTGTACTCGCTTACTCTCTCTCTCTCTCTCTCTCTCTGGCAAATAAATAAAATCTTTAAAAAAAAAGTATGTGTTAATTAACTCTTTATGTTATCAGCACCCTCAACAGTAGGTTGTTAGTAGTCAGATTCAGGAGAGTCAAAAATTATACACGGATTTTAGACTACATGGGGATCAGCACCCCTAACCCCTGTGTTGTTCAAGTGTGGAAATGATGCTCTGATATAATTTGTATTTTATAAGAGAGCATCTGGCCACTGTTTAGGCTACTGCCCAGAGGCAGTCAGGACCGATGCATGGAAGGTAGTTATGGAAACTCAGATGAGCAGTAGACGAAGGTCCACATGGAAGGAATGGAACAAAAAAGAATAAGAGGGGGTGAGACAGATATGGGGGGTTGCAGAAGAGGGTTCC